CTCTGTTTAACCTAAACAGAGCTCAGGTTAGCATAAATATCACAGACTCTATAGTGGTTAGCTCTCAAAAATTGTAAGGGTAACCCTTCCAGACAATGATATCTCACATTGACTCTAGCCATTTTGCCAATCCGTGTTTTATACACACCCCTTCAGGACCATTCAGGGAGAACTCAAATGATCTGAATTTGTAGTTGCATGTACCAGATAATGCCATTTATTTTTACTTCATCCTAAATTATGAAACAAAATTTAATTACACTTCACCTATGGCTTTGGCATCATATTGGAAAAATGTTCCTGATGGATCTAAGTGATAACTAAACGAGACAAAAAATGACAAAGAAACTTGTTACCACATGTTCACATAACAACAGCGCAATTTGCTAATTACATGTAAACGTTATCTGTAGAATACCATAAACTGCCTTTTACAGTATAAGCTCTCCCACTTATAATCCTGCCAGTTATAAACCCATCTACGTGTAAGCAAAATATTACTTCCGATTATAAGCCCCCAGATATATGCCCTTCTAGTTTAAAATGAAATGAATTTGACTTATTATGTTGTTTTGAAGTGTTAATTAAAAATCAGTATATGAAAAATGTATTTTGATCAACACTACTGTAGCTTATTTCAACCCCTCTTTTTATTTCCACTTATGAGTCCCCCTGGATAAAAGCCCCTCTGTTTATAAGCTCATCCAAAATCCCTTTTCAAGTTGTATAAGCCGAGGGCTTATAAGCAGCAGTTTATTGTACATCATATAATTTTTAGTTCTTACAGTTGGGGTCCTTTAGCATCCACTCCTCCAAATAACAAAGCAANTCTTAGCCTTACAAAACTCCAAGACAGGTCTGTGACAAAATTGAGACTGCGAGACCTGCAAAACCATTAAAAAATGAGACTGCGAGACCTGTGTAATTCGACAACAATTTTGCAAGACTGATGGCTTTTGAAGGACCATTCGCCAGACTCCCTAGAAAACTTCAGAGACCAGTAAACATTATGGCAGCTATTAATCAGAATTGTATGCTGGAATTGAAGTTTACAATGTCTCTTAGGTTCATGACTGTGGAATTGTTTTAAACATTTTCAGTTGTGTAATAAATCTCTTATTAACCAAGATCCCTCAGGACAGGTGTGTTTGGAACAAGAAATGGCAAAATGGCACTACAGTTAGCCTAAATACTGCTCTGTTTAGCCTAAACAGAGCTCAGGTTAGTATAAATATCACAGACTCTACAGTGGTTAGCTCTCAGTAAGGGTAACCTTTGCAGACACCCATATCTCACACTGACTCTTGCCATTCCACCAATTCGTGTTTTAAACACGCCCCCTCAGGACCATTCAGGGAGAACTCAAATAATCTGAATTTGCAGTCGCACGACCAAGAAAATACCATTTATTTTTACCGTATCCTAAATTATGAAACAAAATTTAATGTCACTTCACCTATGGCTTTGGCATCGTATTGGAAAAATGTTCCTGATGGATCTAAGTGATAACTAAAGGAGACAAAAAATGACAAAGAAACTTGTTACCACATGTCCACATAACAACAGTGCAATTTGCTAATTAAATGTTATCTGTAGAACACCATAAACTGCCTTTTACAGTATAAGCTCTCCCACTTATAATCCCACCAGTTGTAAGCCCATCTACATGTAAGCAAAATATTGCTTCCGATTATAAGCCCCCAGATATGTACCTCTCTAGTTTAAAATGAAGTGAATTTGACTTATTATGTTGTTTTGAAGTGTTAATTAAAAATCAGTACATGAAAAATGTATTTTGATCAACACTACTGTAGCTTATTTCAACCCCTTTTTTTATTTCTGTTTATTATGTCCCCCTGGATAAAAGCCCCTCTGTTTATAAGCTCATCCAAAAACCCTTTTCAAGTTGTATAAGCCGAGGGCTTATAAGCAGCAGTTTACAGTACATCATATAATTTTTAGTTCTTACAGTTGGGGTCCTTTAGCATCCACTCCTCCAAATAACAAAGCAACTCCAAATGGACGACTCTGTTGAAAAATGACATTTTACTAATTTTAATAAGTGCAGATGACAGCGAAGTAGTTTGAGGAAAGAGCCTTACCATAGCACCTTCTCTGGCATCATCATCTCCAAACTCAAGTGCAAGGTTTGAGACTGCTTGTGTGACGCTTTCTACACTCATCTGCTCATTGTATGTGAACCAGTGATTCTACAACACACAGAATTGCAATTATGTGCATCCTAAAAAAATCTTATACTAGTCAACAACTAAACTAGGAACACAACTTTTCTATGAGCAGTTAGTACGCAAGGTGCTGCCAAGTCCTATATCACTCATAGAAAATGAGTGTGAATAGTTTCATTGCTGCACGTCACAGGACTTGTTCTGTTTTAGGTCTAAATGGTTCATAGCTATAAAGTTGTATAAGATCAGAGCTCAGATTTGACAGAAAAGCAAACTTATGGTGATGTATTTTTTAACATGGATCTTGACTTTAACATGCACCATCATGAATTTAATTTTCTAACATACTATTTCGTTCTTACCCCTTCCCCGAATTAATGATTAGGAATTGAAATGTACCTGTGCTTCTACTCTTGCTTTATCCACCATTGTTCTGGAGTCTGCGATTAGACCACTCATGGCACAACCTTAAACATAAATCACATTAAATAATCACTTTGAATAATTTAACAAGAATAAAGTATGCATGAGTTTGAATCTAATGCAGTAAAGATAGCCCACAGTGCAAGTGTTTTCTCTGTGTTTACCAATTATTGGTATTGGCTCTAGACACCTTTTCATCTCTCCCCAAGCCTCTTCTGACTTTGAATCTAAGATGGTGTTCACTTGATCAAAATGCTCTCACTTGCCAAAATACGCATGCTTCACAGGCTAGCAGTAAAGATTGTTGAATTACCTATGTGACTGTCAATTTCCACGATCTTTTCAACACTTGCTGGTTCCATAAGTGGAGATGTAATTCTCTTTTCTACAGCAAGTACTACACCCTCTGATGTCTGTATACCAATTGCAGTTGATCCGAGCTGCGAGCAAAATATTAGATCATTGTCAATGCACAGTGATATTGTCATTTAGTCTGTTGTAAAAGTATTAATAAAGCACTTTTCCCACTGAGAGCCAAAAAATGGACAGATAGGTACACTAACCAGTATACAACTAATAATTATCATTAAGTGAATAACGACTGTTTACTTGACTGATTGCCACTTTGACTAGCTGATTGACTAGTAACTGAGTGTCAGACAGACAGACAGCGGGACAGAGAGACGGAGAGACTAACTGATGA